AGCACGCTTTCCGTCCAACGCGTGCTTCTCATTGGTCTCTAGTCTAGTTGGTAGTTCAATGTCCACTTTCCAGAGGAAAGCTGCACATGGTTGGCATCTGATTGCTCACGTCAATTGGTCAATTTAATAATGATTGGATGGTTCAATAAAAAAATTCCAATATATCAAATATATCTGGCGCAATATATTAAATATATTTACATACATATACATTCAATTATACATTTATTATCTTATTATTTTTTACAACGGTATTCTTTAATTTCTATATAAATTCGAAATATCTTTTTGTTATTTATATTATTACATTATTTATAATATATAATGATGTATTATATATTATATATTTTGTTTATAACATTAATTCTAATTTGCTGTTTTAAGGGTAACGAAAAATTTTAACAGACCATAATGCAAAAAATGTATAAAAATGGACGCGAACATAAAAATCCAAATATAATTACAAGTACATACAAATAATTATATATATGTATTAGTTAATTAATAATTGCATGAAATTTTTCACACGCTGTTGAAAAGAATTTTGGACAACTTCTTTTTATTAGGGCCTATCCAGACAACTTGCATAGCTACATAATCATATGCGTAAAGAAAATTATCCAATCGCATTTCTATTATAAGAACGAACGTAAAATGAGATTGGATAATTTTTTTATGTATATGATTATATGCAGCTGTGCAAATTGTCTGGATAGGCCTTTAGCAATGCTTATCAACGATCACGATATACGAATATCTAGATGCACCCGTTCAGCGTCCATAAGTATTTATGTGCCTAACTTCAGACGTAAACGCATATATATTGACGTCAAGCGCATAATGTAAATTATTGATACAAATTATACTGCCTGCGCGTTTGTGTATATTCGGAAGTGAAACGCAAAAGAAGAGGGGAAGCTAAGGAACAGAAAGAGAAAGAGAGAGAGAGAAAGTGAGAGAGACGTGACGTTGGCGAGGTTATCGGATTCTCTCTGCCGGTGTTATTTGCATAGCGCTATTTACATAGCGAGATGAATATGAATTGTCGGGATGAGATGACGACCGTCACGGTACAGGATAACACGACGGTGATACGACGCTTCTAGAGGGACGTTTCCTTGACGGACGATCGTCGTGACCTTCCGATCGCGGCATTCAAGCCATGTTCAGGTACTTTTGGGCTGTGGTATGCTGGTACCTTAGGCCCTTCATAAAATGGTTCTTGCGCCACACCACGCAGATGTGCGAGCTACAGAGGATCTGCTACGGCCAGCCGTCCGGCGCGCCGCGCGCCTTCGCCGTCGAGGAGAACCTCGGGCGATCGCGCGACGCGAGCATCAGGACTCTCGTGGCTTACCTGAACGACCACGCCGACCATCGCCGCATAACGACGAAAACGGAGCGCAAGATTCTCGAGGATGCCATCAGGACCGTGCTGGTGGCCAAGAAGATCAATCCCATGGCGCATCCAGACTTTGCCAAGTCGTTCGGCAAGTGCGTGGAGCTGATCTGGGGCTACCGTCAGCTCTGCGTGGAGTGCGAGGAGCTCAGGAAGACGCCGTACAGCGCGGATAATCCGGAGCACGAGCAGAAGCTGCTGAAGCTGTGGAGCCTGCTGATGCCGTACGAGCCCCTGGATGCGAGGGTGACCAAGCAGTGGCAGGAGATCGGCTTCCAGGGGGACGATCCCAAGACGGACTTTCGCGGGATGGGTATCCTGGGACTGGAGAATCTCGTTTACTTTGCTCAAGAGTATCCCAGCATGGCCACACACGTGCTGTCCCACTCGACTCACCCGCGTTACGGTTACGCGTTCGCCATAGTCGGTATAAATCTCACGAGCATGGCTCTGAAATTGCTGAGGGACGGCAGTGCTAAGACTCACATATACAATTCCTCGAAAACCCTGCCGACGATTCGTGCCTTTCATCAGTTTTACTGTTATCTATTTTATGAATTTGATGGATTTTGGATCGAGTCCAAGCCTAGCAATATGATGGAATTCTCGTCGATACAAGAAAAGTTTGAAAACAGTATCAGACAGGCGTTAGCTAATCCATCAACTGTTTTCAGGATAAATGTAGCAGTTGACAATATTTAATATGAAAATTGCCTTTTATTTATAAGAAACAAGACCAAAATGGCTATATAAAGAATGAGTACAATTTTTAGACTAGCATACACAAAACTTTTTTTTTGTTGTATTTTTCACAATGTTGGCTTTGTTGTGATATTAAAATGGCATTTAAGTAAATTGACTTCTTTGATATTATAGAAATCTTTTTTATTAATTTAGTCTTTTTTTAATAATATAATGTGATTAATATCTTGATGTAACATGTGTGTTTTATTATAATTTCATTAATAGTAATTGTAATAGATGGCTACACATTTAGCTGTTTCTTTCAATTTATATAGGTTTGTACATAGAGTACAATGCTTATCACATATGTGTTATGTTAAGTAACATAATACAAAATTAGAGCTACTGTGCATTACGCGCAGTTTGTATTGATTTAAATAATTTTATCTATTTAGAGTTGAAAATTTTCAAATATTGTCAGCGACAAATCTAGATTACACTAATTAAGTTAAAGCTTTAGAATTCCAAAAAGATTTGTCATTGAATAACTTAATAAATAATTTTAACGAGCATTATCACAATATCGTGCCTCATGAATTTTATTCTTTAATAATTCGAAACACGAGTATTTTAAAATCTAAAGAAAAAATCATATACGTGTGAGCTAAACAAGTCATAGCATAGTATTACTGAAAAACAATGTTGCTTTTATAGGTTTGCAATACTTTGAATTTATTATACGTATATGCGTAAATTATGTACGTAAAGTTTAGAAGAGATCACTTTCAGATAATTATGAAAGTATAAATTGTCAGACATGTTTGATATAGATCTGCGTGTCTTCAATAAAATTTATATTGTTATTGCACACATTAATGAGGAATTGATATTAAATGGCTTAAGTGAAGGTTGAAATCTCAATATTGATTTACAATTTTTTTTTTGCATCAAAGATATATTTCTGTAAAAAATTTATAACAGATATTCATTATACAGTCTAATTATATGTTTTTTCTCTCTGTTTTCTTTATAATAAAATATAACTCGCATGATTGCTCATAAAAAATTATATGTGAAAAAAAGCAGCAATAAAATTTGGAGTAACAGATATAACAGAGTGTTGTACAATTAATGGACGTAATATCATACAATTAATGGAATGCATGGCTAATAACTTGACAATAAAAGTCTTTTCTTAACAAAACGAATACGAACCCGTTTAAGGTCAATCCTCAAGTAAATACCGCTTTGCCTTAAATTTACTGCTGTTATAAACATTCTCTCTTTGCATTACTTACTATATAACTTTTTGAATACATTTCAAGTAAAAAAATATATTTTTATGTAGAATTAATGCAAATAGCTGTATACATTAGACTGTTATACAGAAAATCATGTACATCCTTTTTAATCTTGAGAAATAATTTCAGTTACTAAATGTATTCTTAATTTTACATTATCATTGAATGTATACTAAATTTCTTATATTTTTTCGCGTGATGAAATAACCGAATTTCTCGATTTCATCAAATTTTTAATTTAATAAATATTTTAAAAATATTTAATAAATATTTTTGAAAAAGAGATACGTAGATTTTTGTTACAATCATACCTTTACAATAATTTAATGTACAATTAAAAATCACTTTTAGTACTATAGACAATAGTCTGCACCGAGAAACATTCGTAACATATTTTTGGCAAATCGAATGTAATAGATAGTTAGTTTTTATTAGTCCTCTTTAGTATCCTCTGAAGTTTCCTCTGATTTTATACATTTAATAGTTGCCAGAATAATAACCAGCACCCCAATGCTAATGCTAGTTAGCTTAAGTATCCACGGATTATCGTAGAGAAAGGTCATCATTATTTTTGAATATTCATCACTGGAAAAACGATGATGCATTAATGTACAAACTTACAGATAAGTTAAAAAACGATAAATCTTAAAATAACTATACGCGTTTCTTTAAACTTACAAAAAGCTTGGAAGTGGAGGTACTTCATCTGGTCTTATGTCTTTGTACCATTCTCTGGCGAATGCCACAAGGGAAGCAATATCGTATGTTCCCACGTCATACCGATACATTTTGCCATGCCTAAAGCTGTACAAGTAGAATATATTAATATACTATGTTACTTAATACTTTTCAACTTGTGCTTATCTCACAATGTGTTTATATGATATAAATATTATTCGAGATATCAAACAATAATTTACGTCTACGTGCTCACAGTATAAATTGTGGAAGTTTGTAAATGTTGAATCTCCTGGCTGTGGAAATCCCAGTTGTGGCTTTATTAACAAGTGCTACATTTACTTTCTGTTTAAGCTTGGCACCGACCGTTTCCCACTTTGCCATCGTGCGCAAGCATTGTACGCAGTCCGTGCTGTAACTGATAATTACAAACCGTGATCAGAATGTACTGCCGTTATTTGTAAAGCGAATTAAATGCTTACTGTAGACGTAGAAATAAGGAACCTTGAGACTTACAACATAACAAACCAGTCGCCAGTCGTAGCACCAGTGCTTGCTTGAGTTAAATGCTCAAACGTATCGTCTGTAAGTTCCTTCACCGCTGGTGCTTTATTTTCCGTAAACATAGTCATTATGTCATCGTCCTCCAAAGGTCCTGTGGAAGAAGATGCGGCATAAATAATCCTATAGTACAATCATAGATTTACGCTCGGAAATACGAGTAATATGTAGACGTATCACATTATGTATATGGCATAATAAAGCACGATGTATTATCACAGAGTAATAAAACGATCAAAAGATTTACGCATAATTTCTATTTCTTATCAAATCCGTACCATCGTATACTAAAGGAAGTCCATGTCGGAAGAACAGTAGAACGGGTTCCTTAGTATTGCTATATAATTGAAGTAATTGACTATCAACAGCCTTAACAACCCATGCGGACATGGCATCGACGAGATCCTCACGCAAGTGAGCCAACTTCTTTTCATAGTTATTACAGTCTGCACAGTCTGCGCTAGTTGCTGCAAAAAATGAAATTATTGTCATTAATAATTATAAGATGTTTGTAATATTCAATCAGACAAATCAAAATTATTATCATGTATTCACAGTTATAACAGGAAGATTATAACTTATGTAACATTTATAAAAAAAAAGTAATTGGAGCAAAATTGTTGTGTTTTGTGCCTTATCAAGAGATTAACCATATCGAGTGCTTTTAAGGTCAGATTATTGCTAGAGTCAAATTACACTGAAAATTAAAAGCTACGCAACATTCCTTAGGAATTGTGAAGATTATAGAGCCTTGTTGACTCTAATTTACATCATAAAAATATAAATAATTAGAAAGTAAAATCACATCTCTTGCATAAACGTCTGTTGAAGTAATACATAAACAAAGTATAAATGAGATAACATAATTGATGTCTTTCCGAGAGAGCAATATTTTCTTCTTTTCCCCCGAGAAACCATTCAGAGGAAAAAAAAAACAAAGAAAAAAAAGAGGAAAAAATAAACTTACTAAATAGAACGACCACGTATTTTTCGACTTTTATGAGACTCAGGAGTTCGTCGTCGTGCACCCGCTCGAGTTTCGTGGCGTGAACACCGGAAAGGATGCATATTGCAATTAGGAGCACTAACATCGTTAAATCCGTGCGAGAGGCACGACGATTATGTATGTACGTACAATGTAATACAAATACGACGAGACACGTTTACGCCGGCAACCTGTACATACGTCAAGCGCGACGCGTCAAACCAAACCTGACCTGACCCGACGCTTACGGTCGCCGAGGACGCTGAGTGCGCGAGAGAGATGAAGAAGCGCATCCGTCTGTCTCGGATCACGTGACATCCGGCGGCGGCCATATTGCGGATTCGATTGAAATTTGGAATCTCAAATGGAAACTGTCAACCGACGTGGGGTAACGTCTCGTCTCAATGTCCTATATATGTATGTACAGCGATGTATGGTATGTACAATCCCTGCGATATAATTTATGACTTTTGTGTCGTTCAAAACAATTCTAAGCGGCGTCTTTGTCGCTTCGCATCGCAAATTTGCAACCGTATGTATATATAACGAATATAATACGAAAAATAGTTCCATATGTATATAGATAATTTTGCATAGATATTCTTTCTCTCTCTCTTATTATAAATATAATAAATATAATATATGTCCGATACGCGCGTATTCTTTAGTTAACGTGAAGATAAGATCGTCATGTATAACGATCACAGATTCGAATTATTTTCACGTGCATATCGCAGTTGTGTAACAGATCGATAGCGAGATATACGGATTTACAAAAAAAAAAATAAAAAATTGTAGCGGCAGATTGAAGAGATTAATAAAATTGGAAATAGAGGTATACGTTGGGCGCGAGCGGCGTATAACGTTTTGTATGCTGATGAATCAATAGTCCGGTGAACTTTTGGGAAAAAAAGGGCGCCGCGCCAATGATATGTAGTCGATAGATTTTGATAACCATCTCGTGCGGGATTTTGTGGGACGTCCGAAGGGGGGGAGAGAGAGAGAGAGAGAGAGAGGAGAAAAAGATAAGAAAAAGGATGTAAAAATATAAAAAATGTTCACAGCACCGGGTATTTCGGAAGTTGATATTCATAGTTCGTTTTTTTTTTAAGGCTATCTTAAAAGTAATGTTATAAGATGCCGATACGGTATTCTTGTGATTCTTGATGTATGACATTTTAAAACTTAAGATAATCTTAAAAGAACAAACTGTGAATATTAGTTCGAGAGTTTTATAAAAGTATGTGTAACTGTTAGAATGTAAATTGAAAATTTGACTCATATAGAAAGATTGAGTCATAATGTAATATATTGATTTCGTGATTTATTATTACCCTGATGTATGTTTATATAGTATATACATATACGTATATCTCGACACGATAATATTTGATTTCAATTGAAAAAGTTGTATTTCTATTGTTATCGTATTCATGTTCGATTTTCCACGTGAGTGACGATGATAATTACAATAAAAAATGCAGTTTCACAGCAATAACAGGATACTTTTACATTCCTTTGACAAATATCTCTCTCTCTCTCTCTCTCTCTCTCTCTCTGTGAAGTAAACTCTAAATATTGCAATAAACAAAGAATGCACACAAACTTATATCCGAAAATACGTGAAATAAAATCTGATTTGATCGAAATGAAAATTAAAATTGAATTATGTTCAACAATAAAATTTTGAAATCAAATCTGACCAATATCAAATCAGTTGATTCTTCATTCGATTGAATGCGGAACTAACGGTTATGGTTTTTTTTATCCTTTCAATAGTGCCAGGAAAATTATAAATATTATAATTTCACATGTATCAAAAATATGACGAAGCATCTCTTTATTTTCTCTCTCAATCATTATATAATATATTCGAATATACAACTGTCTCTATAAAAGTCTAAAAAATTTAACAAGATGAAAGATATTTGGTGGATAACATCTCTTGTTAACGTCTCTTGCAACATGATATTGATCAGATTTTTCTTATGAATTCAAAATTTTATTGTTGAATCTAATCTTTTAATGATAACTTTCCACACATTTTGGACGTATCTTTTTATAAACTTTTCTGCTTATTGTGATGTAAAGAACTCATTCTAAAGTTTATTAAAGGAAATTTTTAGGAATATCCTTCATTTAATATTATCTGCATCGTAAAAATGTATTTTTATATATTTACAAAGCTGCATCACAAATAGATGATGAATTTAATTACTATGTTATGGAGATATTTTTATTGAAATAATAATCGATAATATACTCTTCAATTATCCCCAACCTGCCTTACCAAACCTATTTGTTAGTCACGAAAACTTCAGATCTGGCTATTTTTAATATCTCATCGATAATAGCAGTACTTTTTTCATCCTTTTGGTAAAGTTTCATTTTATCAAACTATTAAAAGCAATCGCGTAATCGGAGTCATTGAACAGGAACAATTTTTAATTTTTTAAATGTATAAGGTATGTAATAAATGTTTGAAAGCGGTCACGCGTTTATATGAATTGCGAGAATAAAATTTTCGACAGTAAATGACATGAGAAAATTTACATTTCTCTCTCTCTCTCTCACGTCTGTTTTTTTATAATTGATTTTTCTGAGGATACATACATGCGTCGCTGGCGTGATAAATGCAAAATCAGATAGTTCGCTATCAGTGGAACTTTTGTACCGTGTTGCTTCCGTATCTTTTTCCAAACATTTTTACTCGTTTTATTTCATGCGTGTGCATGGCAACTGCGCGTAATACTGTCAACACGAATCGCTTGCAATATCGAAAAAAAAGTTTCTTGACAGAAATATGACTTGTTAAAAGTACGCAATTTGCGATAATCGATAACATAAGAATTTATTGGTACAAACCACTCGCGCGCAATGGATTGAATGGATTACGTAAAGTCGCTTGGAATATATCGCTCTCGAAGAATTATCAACGATCACAATTTTATATCAAGGATTTTATATCAAGCAACAAGAAATCCATTATATATATATATATATACTTTTTTTTAATGTAATATAGAATAATTTTGAATAATATTAAAAGTATATATGTATATAAAATTTGTATATATAAGTATATTCTTTTAATATTATTGAAAATTATTCGCGAGAGTGGTTTGTATCAATATGTATATATGTAAAATTATTTTATATTATATTTGAAAGTTGAGAAACAAATATATCGCTAAGTACGTGATTTTAAACATGGAATATTGACAAAGTAATTTAAATTGCAAACTGCTCATCGGTATCAGTTCCTAATAGCTATATAGCGATCCCATCTCATCCCCGCCTTCCTTCGCGCATCGAGAAGTATAGTTCCGGCATCCCCGGAGCTCCCTCTCGCGCGTGGATTGTTCGCGCGGGTGAGTTGTCGGTCGCTACGCTCCTGATTAAAGGGGGTCGGAAGTCGAAGGTTGAAAGGTATGGTATAGAGCGGCGCAGATAACGATGGCGGCACACGGCAACGCGTGCATGTCCGTAGCGAAAATCGTGCGCCGGTATGCCGGCGGAACGTCGGGACGTCGGCGACTACCGCAACCCCCCTGGGCTCGCAACGAGGGTCGGCAGTCGCGTGTACCCGTAGTAGTCGCGAGGGGGTGGCCGACCGCGTTGAAGCGCCGTGTACGTAAGAATGTAATCGGCCCGGCGAGAACCATTCCGCCGTCGTCGCTCGCACGTACCGTGGATCATCGTCCCGCCCGCGCGTGGTGGCACGCGAGAAATCGTAATAATCATAGTCGCGAGAGCACGTCTCGATCCCTCCCCTTCCCTCCTCCCTTTTTTTCCCCCTCGATTTGCGCGAGAGAAGTACGTCTCTTATCCTTGAACGGGGAAAGCGAGTGGTCGTCGTCGAGAGAACGAGACACGGGTACCGCCGTAACCCGCCAGGATCGATTCCCTCGTTTACGCGCATCCCGAGCCGGCATTTACAGTACGATCGTGCTGTCAGCCTCGGTCGTTATTGACCGTAAAACGAGGTATATATTGATCGGTTTGCTCCGCTGAGTGACGTGCAACGTGCAGGTATCGAATCGGCGCTCGGCAGCAAATTCGGCACTTGGAATCGATAGTCTCTACGCGCGCGGAGCCTGATGTCTGTCTCTCGGTTTCGCCACCGTGTCTCCTGCGAGCCGATATAGAATTTATATTTGATCGCTACGTGACTTGGTGACGAATCCGGCTATCTCTCCTCACCGCCGCTGCTTGTTCGATTGAATAGTATTATAGGTACTTGCACAGCTTACGCCGAGCTTACGCTGGAACTGTAATGGGAGATCGGTTCGAGGAAACGAAAGCGGGTATCCTTTGAGTGCCCGGTAATATACGTGCACACACGAAAAAATGTACTTACAATTAGTAGTAGTAGCTAAATTTCAATAGCTGAATTAAACTTAGCTGTAATATAAGAGCTACCGCCTTTAGCGTCATTGCTAAGTTCTGGCTATTACAGTTAAAAAACTGTGACAAAAAATTTATTAACTGAAATTAAAAGTATATATTAGTATAGGCAGCTAAAAAGCTGGCATGCGTACCTAAATGTCTTATCATGCACACATTTAGCACACAGAGTTAAGTTTATAGCTTCGCGCGAAAATTTGTAATTGTTTTTGCAATGTAGCACTGCCATATGCCATATCTACAGCGTATTTAGCATTTATATTTTGCAGTATATAAGTTATATAATTGCAAATATTATTACTTTATTGCGAAGATAAAATAGCATTGTATAGATTCGATTAAATATCATTTGATTTTAGCAGCAAACATTTTTTGCTGTAGCATCTACATTTTAATAACTAATATATAAATTGAACTTCGGCAGCATAGCTATATTTTAGCTTCATAATCCTTTTTCTTCTGCAAAGTGTACTGGCCCAACGGTAGCGTTTTTAGCGATATCTTTGCACTCCTTTGCTTGGCACTTTGCATGTTTAATTCCATCACGTGTCATCACGCGTTTGCACGTGCAAGCGAAAAGGGAAGAGCGATCGCAACGTGGTTAAATAAAACTGTTCCACCGGTCATAATTTCCTAAAACTCGGTCGTCGTTTTTCTCTCTCATCGCTGCCAGGGAAAAATAGCGTCGTCATACTATTTATAGGTATCACGTTGAAAATGCTTCTCACGGAATAGAAGGCCGATAAGAGCAAAGTGCACGGCGAAGCTGTAAAATCGCTTCGCGACCGAAACCGAGACGGTTTTAAACGGTACAATATGTAGGATAATGTGTCGCGCCGGTATAAGTACTGCTATTTGCGGCGGAAACGACTCCCCTGGTTTTATTTTCCCCTCACTTCTGCTTTCCTATTTTTTCGTATTTCGACCCCTCGGATGCAATCAACAGCTCGGAGGTCCGTATCTGGGAGTCGGTTTTATGGTCAATTGTACCGTTGAGTGCATTTGCGGCTTATTTATGGGCCGCGGGAAGTGTTGTAGTTTGTGGTGCATCGCGCCTGTTCGTAAATCCGTATCTGAATGCAGGGATTACAAAATAAAGCACGTCTATTCCATTCTATATACATAAGTATCCGGGTAGATTATTGAATATCAATCCAAATTGAATTCTATACATCGTCTACAAATAGACGATCCATATACACTTGTTTCTTTTGTTTAATAAAACTGTTTAAATGCACAATAGCGAAATCATCGTTTACCGTAGTTTTTTAGGTGCTGGACAATTTCGTTTGTCAAATTGCTTTATCTTGTCATAATTCTGAGAAATTTGTAGTTATAGACATGGATTGGAAGTAACTCATTACTTGTAACGCCGTTACCGTTACAGTTACATTTTTTCGGTAACGGTAACGAATTATTCAATTAGTTTTATTGTTACTTTTTGTATTTTGAACTTTCTGTATTTATGACAAAATTTTCGTATGTATATTCAATTTTCAATTTTTAGTTAGTATTCACACAATTTACTCTTATTTTAAGTCTGTTTTAAATAATGTCTTAAAATATTAATATGGCTCTGTGATTAGTTTATATCATTACATCTCAAGAATGCCATAAGTCAATCAACATATCACAAATTAAATTGACAAGAAATTTAATAAGATATTTTTACATTATATGTATCTTAAAATATTTAAAAAAATTTATTGTGAAAAATATCAGCTGAATTGCGTTTTAAGATCGAAAAATTAATTGGCGCATAGTTTGTAAAATTGGATATATGTATATATATATAAATTTATTTTGAAATATTAAGCACAAAACTGAACGCTCTAGCTCATATCGAAAAGGCTTTCATTTTCCTAGTTGTATTTTTATATATCAGTTAGTGTCATTGTTGCTTTTATTAATATTAAAACAAAAAATTGCATCTTAAATTATTTAGACTGATCTTGATTCAGCATTAAAAAAGTAACGGAAAAGTAACGAATCGTTATTTTTTAAGTAACAGTAATGATAACGAGTTATTTTTAAAAATTAGTAACTAGTAACGGTAATTAATTATTTTTTTTAACTCGATAACGAGTAACGATAACTAGTTACTTTTAAAAAGTAACTTTCCATTCCTTGGTTATAGATGCAAAAAAGGTCTACTTTATTTTTAATATATTTATTATTTTAATTAATTATATTTTTAATATATTTATAAAAATACAATATGTGACGTATTGGAGAAGTTTCAGTATAATTAAACTTGAGTACATTATTAGAATTTTCAATCTTTAAACGACATTCGATTATGGTTACAATAATATTGATTAATACAGGATGTATTGCGTCAAAGTTGCGACTTTACATGCCATTAAGAACCTCAAATCAAATATTTGTTAAATATGTTATTCAAATACTGAAAAATTTTTCAGATTGTTGAATACTAATTTGATGTCAAGGTTGATAAAATTGAAATAACTTAATTTTTGTTTGCCATACAATGATAAATCATGCAATAAATAATTCTTTAAATTTTTTAGTGCTGAAGACTAGGCAAGCGTAATAAATATGTTTTCTGTAATGTAAAGTACTGACGTTTTTTTTTGAAGCATTTCCAGAAATACAGGTGATCTTTTTTTCAAAAAATCTTATATCAGGTATAACTTTTAAATACCGACCACTAATTACATATGGCGTTATTTCTTGTAAAAAATTGAATCAGAAAATCCTGAACCATTTCTTTTCTACAGGGCTAAATAAAGCGATCACTACTGCAGTAATTATTGCTTCATTAAGCATTGTAGACAAAAATAGTTTTTAAATATAGCACTCACTAATCATGTAGCACTACTTCTTATAAAAATTGAGTCGAAAAGTCCTGAACCATTTTTCTCTGCGATGCTCAATGAAGCAATAATTACTGCAAAAATGATCTTTATTTAGCTCTGTAGAAAGAAATGGTTCAGAATTTCTCGACACAGTTTTTTTTACAAAGAATAACGCTATATAATTAATGATCGGCATTTAAGTTACACCCCTACCTATAACACTCTTAATTATTTTTAGAAAATATTTCATATTCCTTAAATATACACATTATGAAAACTGAAAACAGTTATTTTCTGTGTCACTATTGTACGTATACTGTTATAGTCTGATATTAATCACGACAGCCAATCTAATTTTATACATATTAATTCAAAATATTGTTATAATTAAATGGATTAATAATAGAAATGCACGAATATATTGTACGAATATTGAACTATAGGTTTTCGGCATTTTACAATTTTAGTACTTTTGCAGACTTTTAATTTAATCTTAATTATGTGTGATTATTTCTTAATTAATTTATAATACTTTAATAAATTTCTTAATCGATTTTGACGACAATCGAACATGAAATCCTGGGGGATGGCGTCTTATTTAAAAAATACAGAAGCAAACGGGAAATATAAAATATTTTGCCGTAGCGTAGATACCAATCTGACGCACGACGAAGCAATAAAATATACAATAGAAGTTATATAACAGTTGTTTTCGTTGTGACAGGTAAAAGTGATTTATTAAACGTGATCGGAATATATAAAGTCGGCGACACCATATATTATTTATAGCGCTCGAATTCAATAAGTCTGCTGCTTTTCAATTCGCCATGTTCTACACGCATCTCCCTACATTCTTCCTCCCTCTTTCCTAAATAGAAAAAAATCTTGTCAGAACGTAAGCATAAACGTTGTATACATATATGCAGAAAGGTGCAACTGCCGGAAATATGAAATATAGCACGGCGCTCGTAATTCAAATGTCGGCATTCTAATCCAATTACGCAATTGTTTCGTGCTACGCCCGCGCCGGTTTGCAAGTGTCGGGACACGTGGAATTAAATTGTAGCTCAAGCGTCGAATGAATGAACATAGCCCCCGGGCTCTTCGTGCTGCCGAGCGCAGCGAAGGGGCAGGGGAGGAGGAGGAGGAGGAGAAGGAGGAGGAGGAGGGATGCTTTTTGCAACTTGCTTTTTTTATATCGGGAAACGATATATAAAACCAGATGTCTCGATTACAGCGCGGTGTTCTGGCATCGGCGCTCCTATTACGGCCGATCGACTGCGTACACACAACGGCCGCGCGTCGTATCTCCCGCGGGAAGAGCGATATCCTGTTAAATCGATAACGAATGATGATAGAACCACGTGCTGCGGCATGCGACTTGTACCAAGTCGCTCCTGGCCCTATCTCGCCATTCGATATTCGAAGCTGGCACGCCTGAGAAGTATATGTCACGTCGCGTCGTCGTCGGGACATCACATCGCTACCGTCGTCGTTGTCGTCGTCGTCGTCGTCGTGATCGTGCACAGCTGCACGCGCGCGGGCGCGCGCGCGTTCGCGCTCGCGCGATCCTTTGTTTCTCGGTTTTCCCTGCCCTTGCCCGGGGGATACGATACGTAAATGGCGCAGGAAGTTCCCGAGACGACGACGTACGAGCCGGAAGCCGAAGAAGACGCGAGGAGAAAGCGCGAGCGCCGAGTTGTTCAGGAGGGCACGGCGTTATGGCGGCGACGGAAGGAGGAGCTGCAACGTCAAAAGCACCGCGAGCAACGTGAAGTATGTGTCACACAAATGGGCGTTTCTGGTTCGGCCACGTTGCTGCCGTTTATACCACTTGCCCTACGGGCCCCCGCGACCGCCACCCCTTAACGTCATTGTCTCGCCTCGCTATTGTTACCGATCGGGATAAGGGTCTACTGCGCGGCGAGATACGGCCTCGGGATATATTCGGTGAACCGGAACGTCATTAGGGCGAGGACGGGGCGGACTTTGGAAATTAATCCTTCGCGGTGTTGCAAGCGGAGTCGAGACACTCGGGAGTCTAGCAACGTCGCGTCTCGTCTTGGAAACGATATCGTTAAAAAGCTGAAATTATGCATATACGTTTGACGAGACATCTGATGTCACGTCGTGCGGGAACAAATATATTCGTTCACATTTAATGATATATTGACAATCAAGCGAACAAGACCGAATGAAAGAATTATAAGCGAATAACGGAGATTTGAAACGCGGTCAACATTATCCGATGACAAATAATATTTTAATAATATTTTTACAAATAAATATTTGAAAATAATATTTTTAAAATGGAAAATTACCTAATGGAGTACTGATCGTGAATCGCGATGAAATATTAAATATCGGGTGACCTTTTCGCTTATTCCTATATTATAGGGCGTGTTTTGAAAATGTCGCTGTAATTCCAGTACGTGTCTGACCCAGTTGCGTTTATTTCTACGTTTCCACGGGGGGCGTGTCGTTGAATTCGGAACGGGGAATTACGTGCGAGCGAACGGTAATAAAGCTATCCCATTAAAGTGGATTTGCATAATCTCCGTCTCTAACTGTCTTAAGAAACAAGCCGCGAAAGATAACCCAATAATCTATCACGGTCTCTCGTTGCGCGCGCTTTACATAAACTGCGTGTCTCGATCGTCGTCCCCGCGTGTTCTCGTTACGAAACTTGTAACAAACGTTGCAACAGCTCGTTAGGCGTCGCGGGTCGCGTTAATGGTAACCTCCGAAGTGATCGTGGGAGCGGAATCGTAATTCGAAATAAAATATGTCGATGTCTCACGTAGAACGTTCAAGAAAACACGGACTCCTCGGAATATTCTCAAGCGCGATCGATCGAGTTTCGAGATAATTTGCAAAAGTTACGCGCCAAATCATATTCACTCGGATAGGTATATCGATATACCTCATTTTCGTCAGTTTCGCATGCATCAAACGCGCGAAACCGTTTCTTTCGCTTCTCTTTAATCAGTTTTTTTTTTAATATTATATTTTTACGCCAATTATATTCGGCGTTTAAAATCTCGCTACCTAGTTTTTATTCTTCCCCTATTTTTATTTTGGTATTGACGCGGCATAACGATGATGCGCAATCATCACCCGGTCGGTCCTAAATATTTGCAAAACACACGCTCGTTACATTCATTACCATCCCCCTGTGAAAATAACAATCCGCACGGAATACATATTGTAAAAATGCACAGGCACACGCGCGTCGCGTTATCCAGCTGCACCGTTACACCCCCGCCCGCGCCGCCGTAATACTTTGTCCGCCGCGCGTTTCAATCACTTCGAAAATACATGTCGAAATTATGCCGATGAAAATCCCGGCGTAATTATTACACCGGTGATTATTTCGTGTCGTTAATGCAACACGTCGACCGTATTAAATTGTATTTACCGCGTGTACACGGGGATTGGAATTTATCGTGTAACCGGGTATGCTAATAAAGACAGGCCGAGGGGATTTACCGCCCCGCGGTCCCGTCCCTCTTATTACTCGGGAATCTGGTGCAGCCCGCGGTCTGGTGCAAGTGCACGCGGTCGAATGCAAGTGCGTTAGCAATGTTGCCGAGAGGAGAGGGTTGATACACGCTCAGGGTTAATCCGATCTGCCCGCAGGCGTTCTCGGTCGCGATATCGCATGTAACGGCGCGGCGTCAAACAGCGCTCCTAAGTTAAACCGAGAAAAGGCTCGCGCGCGCGCGACTTCCCTTTCCGGAGCGCAAAAGCCGGATCCTTAATTTGCGGCGTCGCGTCGTCGTGTGCTATTAGACGCGCCGCGCATTTCGATCTATTACGAGCGCGCGCGGTTATTTCCCACATACCAGAGCTAGCAAGCGCGCGCTGCTGCAGCCAGTGCCAGCTGTCGCGCACGTTTACACGACGTTTCCTGAGAACTGGTAAGAATTTAATTTAAAGAAATTCTTCGTTTTATTATACGACTTTTACTTGCATAAAACGGAAAAATTCAGCAGACGTATATACATGTTAAACGTGCGCGATCCGCGCGTTAATCCGCGCGTAACTCGCGGCAGTCGCGCTGACGCGCGCTGCTCAGCTGCAACTCGACGTTTACGCTCTTAATTCTTCTTCGCTCTTGCAGCTGCAGGAAATTCTGACCAATTACTCGCCGTGGGGTAAGCCAGGTGGCGGCGCGCCCTGCGCGGCCACCCTGAGGAAGAGAAACGTGCCCCTGGAGCCGCTCGAGCCGCCGAGATGTCACAGTTTCGGTCAGGTAAAACTGAGGCGAACCGTAGCCGTCATTTTTCTTTCCCACCCTCGCGTCGCGAGAAACTTTGTGTCCTCGTAAATCCGACCCGGCCGGCGCTGCGGGCGCGGCGATCGCGTGCACCGTTACTTCTCTCGTCTCTCTCGGAAAAACTTTTCGAGGCTCGCTCTATATACGCACGTCGCGCTGACGCGCGCGAGAGACGGGAGCGCACGCGTTACTCGCGCGAGTAAGATTTGTCGCCGCGTTTTTAATGCCCCCGAGCCGGCAATTTCCCGGCGGCAAATGGGAGTTGAATAGCTCGCGAGAGAACTTGGGAGTTGAAACGGCCGCGAGCGTCATACTGTCGTAAACGAATGAAAAGTCTGAACTTGTCGATATGTGATTTGGGATTATAACGCGAGAAAATCGCGATGTAATTACGGAAAAAAGGGGATGGGAGATCCCGCTTTGCAACGCAGTTCTTTTCACTGTACGTTTGCAATGTTTGCATCAGTCGAATGTACTTATATATACACGAAAACTTACGAGGAATGCGCGAACTCGCGAATTTTCTGCCGCGAAGAAAATTATTGTGGGAATTAATGGTGCCCGACTGCGAAGGTCGTGTACGTTTAATTCTGGCGTACGCGCGTTTTGCCGCGCTGCGGAGTTTACGTACAAATCGAGTTATTAAATCCGTACGCGGTGTACACCGTATAAACACGTGTGGCCATGTATAAAACACAAAAGCCAGGAAACAATATCATGCAACGCTGTGTGCCGTAGTGCAAAGTTTTCAGGCAGCGTTGCTTATACAACATCGCATCGCTGCACATATTAGAATATTCTGTCTGATATTCAAAGGACGACGAAGTTCCGCTTTCGTCTTATCTTCGCTGGAAATATCAATAACTTTGCAATTTTTACTTTTGTGAAAATTAATCGGATTTTATTAATTGCGAGAGTACATTATATACAATTTAACATTTATCATTATTTCAGTGAATTTAATCGTAATTAAATATATATTTTGTTCTAATTTCGTCTTTTAATTTTCCAGAATATAAAATAATACTGTTATATAAAATAGATTTTTAAAAATAAAAATGTTTATCGATATTTTAATAAAATATTACAGTTACGGTAATTAAATTGAATTTGTTGAAATTACTTGGCGATAGGTCTGTAAATAAGTTTGGTTTATTTAATAAATCTGGGAAATCTCTCTCGAGAATTACGGAGCGTTCTCTCTAAAACAATCGCGTTATTATCTATCCCGAACTCGTGTAAGTAATGATTATTGTGCAATCCTCCGAAAGCGGCGGTGAGATTTTCTCCTGCTTGATGTTTTCGATTGTCCGAATCCATCATCCGAATAAGAGCTTAATGCAGTCATATGCTGGATGATTATTCTTAATGTATCAAATGATAAATTTGCGGATTATGTAATTAAATTTATTTATTCTCCCCTGAGTGGGAAACAGATGATGATACATCTACCAGAATTAAAGTTTACATATATTCACTTAGGTACGTAAATATTGTAAATCTTTATCCATCTTCTTCATATCTTACGTATTAAAGGCTATATATAAAGATTATTAAGACTTTATACAAGATTATACAATAAATCTCAAACTCGACTTCTCTCACGGAATGCGTGTTTACACACATTTCTATAATATTTTGTTATTCTGTATAAATTACAGTTTATCTTTTAAATTCTTAATTAAATATACTTTTTACATTTAATCTAGTTTTATGGTTTTATTTATTTTTATATTGGAGAGGAGACAATTTTAATAAAGCTTCAAGAGATTGATTTTTATAAAGAAATTGATAACTTAGGAAGTTTTTAGTTTTATCTTGAGATTATACAACACTTTATTTTTAATCGATTTTTTGAAAATTAATGCTCCTTTACATGATACATATATGTATCTCAGATTGATGTTGATATATGTATTTCAGATGGACAATATAGATATAGACAGAATCTCTTGCAAAACGAAGTAAAAATGTCCATGGAATTCACCTCGCTTGTTGTTTTGATTAAACGAGCTCCGTATTTCCATGCAAATTTCCATACGTTTTCTTTACCGCAACATAAATGTACGACAGTACGCAATTTTTTACCAGGCATAATTCATCAAAAGGGAGAAAGAATTTTACATATTTTTTTTATTTCTTATAAGCATATGTTAAGATAAAGAGAAATTACGTATACGAGACAAGTACATAAAATATATTTGTATTTTTTTCAATAGATATTTAATTTAATTTCAATAAATATTTAAATGTTTTATGTATTTTTAACATTTCGATTTAATTTTCTTCAGCTGGTCGAAGAAATGTCCATGTGAAATGGTGATAATACAATTTTGTATGTGCATTTATCGCATATATTAGGTGCTAGCCACTTTTTTATCTTCAGTAAATCTCAGAAATTGTCACAATGTTTGGCGCATGCGAAAGTAGGTCACAAACGCAGTCACGAACCATATTTTTATGAAGCAACAGAAGGTTGTTATTTTTACTGTTTAAGGTCACTGCACCAGTCGCTGAACAATCACCAGTATGTGACTGTTTAAGAAAAATATAAAAATAATAAGCCTTTAAAATAATAAATTGCAAATTAATTGATATTTTTTTTATCTAATTTTTATACAGATTTGTTTCAAATATCATTTTTTTACTTAAAAATGTTATTATATATCAAGGGAAAAAAGAAATGTATCTTACTCTAATAAATGTACTTATAATAGAAATTTACTACAAGTAAAATGGAATATACACCTTAAAAGAAATATTTAATTAATTAAATATGTATATTTATTAAAAATATGTATTCTTTTTATTTTAAAAAGGAACTTATATATTACGTTAGCCACATATTTTTACGCATCAGTTATTAATTGAGGCTTGCCAGTCATTTATTAGTGTTTTTTGCATTTTATTCACTTTTAAAAAAAAATCAAACCTTCTATTTTTTCTAATTTTTTTTATAACACGACATTTTTAAAGAATGAATAAACAACTATTAATTGAGCTGTTGAACTATATTGAAGTTATACTCGTACTATTGTTTCCTTTTTATACTGTATATTGTTTATAATGTACATCGTGAATTTTTTATTTGTTCGTTGACTAGTGAAATGACCTATATGTTTTTTTCATGGCATTTGTTGCATATGAATATGCTTCAAACGCATTATATGCTTTTGAACATAAGTACACTTCATATATATGTGCATATATTTCAAGGCACTTTGTCCGAGTAAAAATAGGGAGTCCTATTCTGGGCATGTAATTGCAAATTGAATAACCGGCAGCGATCTGTTCTAGCTGGTTAGTTATAAGCTGCAGTTGCTTTGTAAGAATTCGCTTTAAATTCGCGCTCTCCTTCGCACATCCGGGAGAAAAGTTTCGCTTGCTTGCGTGTGCGTCGCCAATTAGATTTGCATATCTCTGTACAGTTGTACGATCGTTATAATCGCGCAATGTCGCCAACGCTATGCGAAGTTCATCGCTTCAAACGGCACCTATCCGCACTCCCGTAAAATCTCTCTCATACAAAGGCAAATTACGATACCTACACACAGCTACTCACCCCGCGACGACACAAACCGTCTGGCAGACGTCGTCGCGCTTGAAATAGCATAATAGCTCCGGAAGTCGCCTGTATTACTGGCACCGAATATTGCAAAGGCAGCACGTATAGGGGGATGCCGATTTGTACGCCGGGGAAATGGGATAAAGGAAGGGGTGAAGGGGAGGGATGAAGAACACGCCCGATGTTGATTCGATCCGGCCGTAATCAACGTTAAGGGTCGACTGCACCGGCACGACCTAACTCTCGGAGGATTAGCTCTAGCTCTCGGATTAAATAAATTTTCTTTCCTTATGTACCAACGAGGCGTAATAATCCACGAAAGAAAAAAACGAAAGCCGAGATGTTAAATGTATTCATCTTAATTAATTCGAACTCCTCGCTTGACTCGCGAATGAATAATTATCGAATGTCGGTTAAGGAAACTATTCCGAAAGTTCCTGACAAAAAGTTGCAAAGCATATTACTGACAAATGAAACGAACGAATATATCACGTAATATCGGAATCGATAATCGAATTGTATAAGGATATTGGGCGTGTTTTTCTTTTTTGCGAGGTTTTTTGTGAGTTTCCGTTTTTTGGGGGGGACGGGGAAATTACAGATAAATTTATATTAGCAATAAGATAAAAATTGCTACGTTTACATTTATCGAGCTATGTGCAATTGCAAGCCGGTAATTATGGTACTCAAGCCCGCCTGCCCCCGCAAGTGAATCCGCAATTTTATCGTACCTACCTGCAGCGCGTGAGTCGATCAAACGCGACGATATCGCCGTCGCCTCGTCAGCGTAAGTTTCCTCTCTTCCATCTTTTTTAAGAGATTAATATCTCATCTGACCTCGTACACACGATACCTTTCCGATACCGCAGACACGAAGTTTGTATTGCAATGTCATCATGCGAATGCGGTACTACACACGATGACGTGTGAAGTTTAACGGGTTTTGAGCTTTATCTGGAATACTGGAAACTGCTAACCCCGGTCAAAGGTCATTTATCTCGGTGTAATTTTAAATTTACCGATGTAAGAGCTTTTTCGGGAATTGATTTTTCTGAGATTGAAGGAAACGATATGAAAAGAGTAGAATGATTTTAATTTTAATCGGATTAAATGAAACATGATATTAATTAATTGATTTTTGCACGTTTATAAAATTAAAATGTATTCTACGTACGATATCTCTATTTGATTAAATTCTATAGCTTTTTTATTAGAATGAAGAATGGGTATTTTTAAAGTAGAGCAGAAGGCAATTATATATAATATCATATTTTGTTGCTGGTATGACGAGTCGATATCATGTTCGACACAAAAAAAAGCTCCAACTCATTTGGATATAGCTGCGACTCATATCATACTTTTTACTGGTATTCTATAAAGAAAATATTATTGAAAGATGATTTTTTAATTA